TTGCTGGCAACTCACGGGCAGCCCAGCTCCAGGTTGAGCTGTTGTTCAGCATCTTAGCTGTGGAGGGCAGCGTCACTGGCCCTAATATGTGGGATCCGAACTGGGGCCCTCTGGTGTCCCAAGCCAGTTCTTAACCATCGCGCCACTCGGCCGGCCCAACAGCCCAAATTTTAAAAACAACCTGAGCCACTCAGGGACAGGGGAAAAACAGAGTTTGCATGGGACCATGAGGAGACCTGCCTGGGTACAATGGAGGGGGCAGCAGAGGTAGACACAGAAGTGGGTTCTCTGTGGTAGACAGTAGGGAACTTGGCAAGTCCTGATGCAAGAGCGGCAGAATGGTTATGGTATTAGAATAAGATGAGCCAGGCAGTGTATTGGAGAGCACAGGGCGAAAAGCCTGGAGTTGACAAGACTTCTTACAACTTTTCTGTGAGTTTAAAATGATATCTAAATAAATTGTTTTAAAAAGAAGAGCTTATTGATTATGTTTGAGAGATATTTTGAATGGCAGTTAATATCCATTATTTAGGATAAAGAAAAAATCAATATATAGAATTGAAATATAAGATAATATCCTAACACTGTCACCGAGATCAATCTTTGACCTGACATGACCTATATTTGCTTTTCTTTGATCTAATATTTTATGTTCAATTTTCTTGTAATATATTAGGACATATCCCCAAAATGCTACTATACAATATTATCCAAGAGAATTTTTAGAAGAGGAAAAAGAAATACTTGGACAATCAAAGCCTGTGACCAATTTTCTTAACAACGTGTCCATAAGGTAAAAATTGTATATTAAATTTTTTAAATAAAACATGAAATGTGTATGTTTAGTTATAATAATAGGTCTTTAAAAACAGCTTAATACATGGTATCTGGATAGAAATAATGAAACCAGTTCTCAGATATGCATGAGCATATGACATTCTCCACAGATTCTCAGTCTTTCTTTCTACTCTATTGCCAAGAATCATCCTAGACCTTGAAAGCTAGGGCCACACCAAACAGTGTAAACCTGGATGATATATACAGTTGAGATTGTGAGGATGTTTCCATAACAGCACATTAACATTCATTTACCATGGCTTCTTTTATTTAAGTCTTTTTCTCCACTCCTCGCTTCCCTTTTTATCTTCATTGACTTTTATAAGATTATGAGAATGCTGTGAATGTTAAGGGTGATTATTGAAATGATGATGGGAATTTACAAAAACATCTTTACAAAAATATTTTTGTAAATAAAAACCTAAATTAAAAAAAAAAAAAGAAGAACCTAAATTCAATTCGGGTATAATTCTTGGATATGTCATCCTTATCTCATCCCTAATTCCTGTGTGCCTGCCACTCTTACTGGCTGTAAAAGAGAGGTGTCTTCAAAACACCCCTTACAGCGGTGCTAAGACCGTGGGGCAGAGAGCCTTGGGCTTCTAAACCAGAGAAAGAGCTTGACAAATTCTCACCAAGCAGTTATCAGCCAGACTTCAGACAAGTGGAACCAATGATGTACAGACCTGACGATTATACCCAATAGGTTGGTTTCCATCTGTTTACAAAATTAAAAATTTGGTGGTCAAGTTCATAGATAGCCCAACTTACACCTTTTTATTCTTAAGAAAACATCATTAGCTCTTTCAGACTGGATTAATTGTCCTGAAAATGATCGATGCGTAGGGAGAATCTGGTTAAAAAATTCGTCAATGATTTAGAGAGTGCATTAATTATATGCCACTCATGGGAAGCATGCTATCTATAGATTTTTGTTTGTTTGTTTGTTTGTTTGTTTGTTTGTTTGTTTGTTTGTTTTTGTCTATGTGGGTAAAGAAAAAGAAACAAAGAAAACCTAAGTTTTCTTTTTCTCCATATCAAAATTAAGCAGTTATTTAAATTTTACCTCATAAGAGCATTAAAAATGAGAAGTCTATCTCTCTGTACAATCCATTTAGAGGGAATAAATGGACTATAACCAATTTTCAATTATCCACATTGTATATTATCTTTAGTCTTAGCCTTTTATTCTTCCCTTTCAAGTACCATGCTTATAAAGAGAGGAATATAATGCCTTCCCTGAGATGTGGGAAGGAGAAGTCAGAACTATAAGAAAGAAGGAAACTGGCACAGAAATTATAATAGCACTGGCAAAGAATATGTAGAAACCCATGTTTATATCACTGCCATTGTCCACATTCTAAAATTGTTTTAGAAAAAGGCATATTTAATTTTTTTTTATTTAATATAAGCTTAGTTTTGTTCTGGAAAAGAGCCCTTTCAGAAATGAGTTATTTCTTTCTCATAGAAATGTATCCAGAACGAACCTACGGGAAGCATGATTTGCAAAAGAAGGAACTCATGTGAAAGGAGAGATAGAAACTTTCAGGGGATTCTCAAAGCAACTCAGAAACTTTCATTGGGGGATTAAAAAAAAAAATGATACTCATCAGTTTTAACTCATACAACAGTTTTGCCAGCCTCTGATTCATCACTCTCGGGAACCGAGAGGTAGAGTGCAGGGAAGTCAGAGAGAAAGTGCTGTCTTCCCTTCTCCCTTGTGAATCACTTTCCTCTTCAGCCTGAAAGGGAAGAATCAGGAAACCAAAAAGCAAAGGCCCTGTCTAACTTCTCTTTTGGAAATTCCTTTCTCATTCAGGCTGAAACAGAAAGAAATAAGATTTTGAAAATGCCAACAAATGCTTCTGCTTGAAACTAGGTTTAAACCTTGAAGCTCCAAGGTGTGACTCTACCCCACCTAGAAAGGGTTATTCAAATTTTAATGTGCATATGATAAAACCTGGGCATCTTGTTAAAAAGCAGGTTCTGACTCAGCAGGTTTGGGATGGAGCGGGTGACTGCAATTCTAACAGCTTCGGGTCATGGTGATGCTGCTGGTTCTAGAAATGCTTCTAGTTTCAAAGGTGAAGTACAAAATTAATCGGAAGAGTATTTTGTTAAGCAGGGAATGGTAGTGTTAATGCTTAGTGACAGACGTATTAAATGGTACCCTTGTTTAATTACATTTTAGGAGTATCTATTATCATATGTAGTGTTTACTTTGTCTAAATAAAGCATTTTTTCTTATTTTAGAAAATTCGTAATTGAGATACCACTCTTTCCGCTTACCACACCTATTAAAACACCAATCTATTTGGACTTTCAATCAGTAGGGTAAAACCTTGGGTGGCGTTCTAATGGTGGGAAAGCTCTTAGAGGCCTTGGGAGTGAGCTGAGCTTTCAAACCTAAGCGTATGAAGGGACAATAAGCATTATAGTAACTTATAATAACTTTCAAGACAGGAGCCTGTCAAGCTAGGATCCCTAGACTATTAAGGGATGAGCCTAGCACTCAGATTGTTTTCTTAAGAAGCAATATTAGCATTTTTAGCAGGATAATTCTTCATTTTAGGGACTGTCTCATGCATTGCAGGAGGTTTAGTAATGGAATTAAATACATTAGCAC